AAACACAACCACTGTTTTAAAAATCTGGACATAACCCCAAATTTGAAAAATCATATAAAATCAAACTGAACTCCAACTAATATGATTCCAACATTCCGAAGAACCTTATAACATATACTACAAGTTTCATGTTGATAATATTTTCATATAGTCACATTAAGATTGTCAAAAATGGCCCAACATCATGATTCTCAATTCTGCCCGAAATTTCAAAAACTGCTTGCACAATCTTTTTGTAAAAATCATAACTCACTCAATTCTTAAGATAAAATCATAACATTTGGTATGTAGACTCATAACACATATATTAACATGTCCAAAAAATTTTATAATTTTATCCTAAGTACAACTCGAGTTATTCGCGTTTGAAGTCGTAGCTGAATTCTGCCATATAAAATTAACTTGCATACTTATCTTCAAAAATTTATAACTCGAGTTATACTAGTCTAAACGACTTGATTCTTGATCTTATGAACTCCTATTTTACACAATCAACAGCTATATAAAGAATAGTATCCCAGGTTTTTCATAGCACAGTCAAAAACGTCCGAAAACATGACATATGGAACATGCAAGTGAGCTCGAATCATTTATACATTTTGCATGCTTATATATCCTTCATAACTGAACATATATGGCACATATCTATACCAATAAACTCCTTATCTCATCTATATTATGTTTATAAAAATATTTTAGCACACCAACCTCTTAATCTTCAAGAAGAATGCAAAGAAAGTCGGTTATGCTCGGTCTTGCTCGGTCCTCGTATAGCTGCGGCTTCTTGCTTTCTTTAGCTTGTATCCTTGAGTTTGTTGGCACTAACCTCTTCTAGGATGAGAGGATGATGATGTAGGATGATATTAAGCTGATGTCATGAAGGTTAGATGCGTAGAACACGAAAATAAGCACAAGGATGCACTCGGAATTTTGCTTGCTCTCATAAATTCACTCTCGGTTTTATGCTATATGCTTAAGTGTTTTGGTGACTTCTTGGCTGAGACTTGAAGTGAGAAAAATGGAACTTCCTCATCTGGAGTATAGGTTTATAAAGTATCCAAATCATGGTCAATGGCGGAGCTAATAAAGCAAGGAAATGGAATCAAATGGGAGACAAATGTGGAAGAACTCATTTCCAATGTCAACTAAAGCTTAGCGTGTGAGGGCATTGGAAGTGGAGCATTGAGGTCTGGTTATGGACGACTATGAGGACTAAATAATGCTGAAAATCTTGCCATGGCACTAAGAAATGAAGTGGGGAACATGTCTTACACATGTGATTAAAAAAAAAAAACAATCCCACCCATGCTTGTTTAAGAATTTAATTAAGACTAATGAGGCTTGACCTTGATAATCAAAATTTAGGCTAAAAAAAATACTTAATATATGGCTAATAAACCCCCTTGAAAACTTGCATGGACATAAGCTAAAGAATGGAATAGGTTAGGGTCTACGCTCATGACTCGGAGTACATACGCGCGCATGGTCTCGGCCTCATGATGGCTCGACCATTTCTAGGATTTAAGAAATAAATCATTGTTATGATGAGCACATCAAAGACTACTAAGGTATTGGGTTCGAGTGGTGCCGACTTGTGCGGGCACCTGGCTAGGCGCTCGGCTAAGGCTCGACTAGGGCTCAACGCACGATCTCGAAATATCGGCACGTCCGAATGATATAACTAGATCATACTAACATATATGAGCACATAATTCAATATAAATACAAATATAACCACATAATTCATGTAATAATTCACTTAGAACTACTGAATCGAACAACTTTAGTGTTCACTTTAAAGTCGAGCAAGTGAATTGGTTTTATTTATTAACTGTTCGGGGCGTTACAGTCTACCCACCTTAAAAGAATTCCGTCCTCGGAATTCGAAAACAAAACAATTAGAAAGCACTGAGAATAAATATACAAAAGGAACTCAAAACATAAAGTTCGGATAACACCTCCTAATACCGTCCTCCCTCTCCCAAGTCGCCTCAGTCTCATCGTGTCGGCTCCACAGCACCTTCACCAAGTTCACTGCCCGGTTCCTCAGTTGATGGACCTTCTGGTCTAGGATAGCTACCGGCACCTCCTCATAGGTAAGGTCTCGCTCGACCTGCAGCTCGCCGAAGTCCACCACATGATCGGGATCATGCACATACCTCCGAAGCATGGAGACATGGAACACGTCGTGCACACCCGACAAGTCTGGTGGTAAAGCCAGCCGACACGCTAAGTTCCCGACTCGATCGAGGATCTCGAACGGCCCAATATAGCGAGGTTTAAGTTTCCCCTTCTTCCCGAAGCGAATCACACCTCTCATGGGTGAAACCTTCAAGAAGACATGATCTCCCACTGCATAAATATGCTCTTGCCTCTCCCGGTCGGCATAAACCTTCTGCCTCTCTTGGGCAGACCTGATAGTCCTCCGGATCTCCTTAACTGTCGCTGCAGTACTCTGGACAAAATCCGGACCCGTGATCCTCCTCTCTCCAACCTCATCCCAATACAAAGGAGTCCGGACCTTACGTCCGTACAAAGCCTCGTACGGGACCATCTTGATCGAAGAGTGGTAACTGTTGTTATAGGTCAGCTCGTGTAATATCCCAGTCAGTTATTAAGTTATAAGTTATAAGTTTGACTTTAAGTTGAAAGTATTCTCGGTTAAATTTTATTTAGTAATCGAGCCAGTTCATTCATTAGTTCCGATTCGTTTACTTTTAGAAATGGATTTTTTTAGTAGGGATTAATTATTTCAAGTAGTCTGATAAGTTTTATGATTAATTTGACATGAGTGTCTAAATTAATCATTTGAGTAAAATAATTTATTTAGACATTTTAGTCTAT